AAAAACGACTTTCCAAGAAACCACTGGAAATTTCAGATTCACTGTCAATTAACGGGCTAAAGAACTCGAAAAGAAAACCAGTAGCCAAGCTTGACCTGTAAGCAGGACTCATGGTGCCTTCTTCAGGAACCACAGTAGCTCTAACTAACTTAATAGCTTCATACAAAACACCAGCAGTCAGAGTTTTTCCAGTTAAAAATTCCTCAACCTTTCTTGCTCTAATTGCATGTTTAGTTCCATAAGCACCAAAAGCCAGACAACAGTGATCTACCATAATTCCATTAGAAATTTTACAAGAAGAAACTTCAGCTAAGAAGGCAGCTTGTAAATAAGGCAATGCGTTTCCTAGGGGTCTGGGTGCAGCTCGATAGGTTTCAAACAGCAACGTTGTGTTTGTTTCTGGAGAAACTTGTCTGACTGCTTCCTGATGTGGGATTTTAACACTTAAAAGTACACTTTTTGGATCCAGTGGAGGTCTAGTCAGAAAATCCTCCAACTTAATCATTTCAGATCTAGAACCATTCATTATACCTACCTCTGAATCCACAGCAAGAAGTATTGTAGCAATATCTGAAGGAAAGCATTTTCTTTGTGCCATCACCAAATTCCCTCCTATACTAGCTGTATTTCTGAGAAAACCTGAACCAATTTTCTCCATATGATTGGCAATTTTATTGAACACAATCTCACCTCTTGATGGAAATTCACCTTTGTCTTTCTTCCTCAACATTTCAATAACTTCAGAGATTGTTAGAATTGCTCCAATCTCAACCCCTATCAGATCCACCTTAATCATTGACAACTCAGGAACAAATCGGAGATCAATATATCTGTCAGAGCGTTTTAGCTCCTCGTAATACCCCATCCCAGTGTTACCAACAACTAATTTCATCTCATTTTCATTACTAAAATCATTAGCTTTCAATAAGTTTTGAAGCTCCTCAACACTAACAGGACTGTACCAACCATATCTCTTTGAATCCAAAAACATGGAAGACCTGATTTCATTTCTTAAGAACTCGGGAAATGTACAGTTCTCAGCATTATGATTATATGGAGGCAAACTATCTATCTTTACTTCCTTACTGTCTCCCTTTCTCCAAAAAGAGTTGAACCCCAAATCCTCCATATCAACATCTGCTGCAAAACTCTTACAGGCATCAGCAATGGATCGATACCCAGTACATCTACAGAGGTTTCCTGCAATAGACTTTTCAACTTCAGAAACAGTGAGTTTGGAGAACCCAGGAGGTGGCTCCAGTCGATTGGTCTTTTCAGCTTTGACAAGAGCTGCAAAGAGTGAAACACACATGCCAGGAGTACAAAAACCACATTGAGAAGCATGGAAACCAGCAAACCTTTGGTGAATAGGATGGAACCCATCTTTGCTATTTCCAAGTCCTTCGGATGTTGTAATTGAACATCCATTTATACTGCAAAGTAGAGTGAGACATGAACTGACATTAAAATCTTTCACTTCGTCAACAACAGGGTCATACTTGGACAGTAGCACAACACAGGCACCACAACCACCTGCAACCATTTTTTAAGTATATATCATATAACTAATCCAATTTTATGCAGATGCAAAATCCAACATACATAAAAAATTTTGAAAGTCTGTAACCCAAATTACAACCTGATCTAATATGATTATTACTGAACAACTGAAATTATAGAATCATCAGCATGAAAGAAGGCTCTTTAAACATCAATTGGTCACCACGAAAGAAAAGTGTTCAAGAAAACTGAGAGAGAGAGAGCAGACCTTCACCGCAACCAAGCTTGACACTTTTGAAACGAGTCTGAGTACGCAAGAACTCAAGCAACGTAGTTGAAGGGTCAACACTTGGGAGCTCAAACCTCTCCCCGTTAACTGCAAAAACCAGACAACCTTCTCTTTGGGCCATTTGTTAGAGTCGGAGAGCCAGAACGCTTCAGAGGCAGAGCAACAAACTACAGAATATAAACCACCCATCACTCCAAATCTATCGAAGACACAGAATGATGTCACAATCACAGAAATCCAAGTCAACTGCTAAGTCACTGTTTTTGGAGCATTCCTTTTTTCTTTATAAGAATCGTCTCTTTTGGAATTTATTAATCCAACATTTCCAGTTGAATCTTTCAAGTTTCGTGCCACTATCACATGTTCGAAATTTTCAACTGTCGATCTTTCAAGTTTCTCCGATTTTATCTCAAACCGCATCATCGACTTGTCCAACCGGACCGTGGCCCTTTTACATTTGGCTAGATTACCTCTCAATCTAATTCAAGCTCTGAAGAACAATTTTCAAAAACATAATTTTGATTTGTTTATTATTTATGAAAGCCTAGTTTTAGTTTTTAGGGAAATAACTTAAAATGCCACCAATTTTATAATTTTTTGTCAAAATACCACCCTTCCCCAAAATTTGTAAAACTACCACTTATAAATACATTTTTATTATAAACTGATTGCACCCATATCACATTTTCAGAAATTGGGTTCTCTCTTAGCTCACTCAGCTCTCTCTCTCTCTAGCACAGCTCTCTTTCTCTTTGGTATATGTCTATCGTAGCTCTCTCTCTCTCTCTCTAGCGCAACTCTATGTCTCTCTCTTTGCTCTCTTTCTCTCTCTGTCTCTCTCTATAGCTTCGTTCTATCTCTTTCTCCCCCTATTCACTCTCTTGCTCTCAGTTTGGCCCCTCCCTTGACCCCATATTTTAGTTATGTCTTCTGAATAGTAGCTTGCAACTTTGAAGCTCTAGTGGATTGCCGACCTCGAAAAGGTAGTGTTGATGGTTATTTTCTTAATATCAGTGGGATTATGTGAAATGGGTTATATTTTGATTGCTTGGGTTTGTGTGAAATTCGTTTTGGCTTTACTAGCTTTGGGTTAGGTTTTGTTGAATATTCATGCTCATTCATATGGGTTTGTACCAATTGCATTTAGATTGGTCTGGATATGTGAATCTTGAAACTTGGGATTTTCCATTTGATGTAGTAGATCTGTATAGTGTGATTCTGATGAATTCTTGTTCACTGCTGTGTTAGTGGTGTATTGCTGTTGTGTTCCTGTTATTTTGATGTCGTATTGCTGTTATGTTGCTGTTATATTGCTATTATATTGCTGTTACATTGCTGGTAAATTGCCATTTTATAGCATGGTTATTGTGGTTATATTGTATTAATGAAATGTTGTTTTGTCATGGTCAGAAATGGACACAATGGTTATTCTCGTGTGCTACAATGGAAAATGGGTGACTTCGAAGAAGATGTGCAAATACGAATGGGGTGACTTAAAAGGCTTAATAGTTCCACGGACCATCAAATTTGCTGAACTATTGGACCGTGTGCATCAGATTGGTAATACAAATAGCAGGGAAGACAAGGTTTGCTTAAGGTTCTCAGTTTTGGTGGCCTCGAATGAGTGGAAGCACATAAAGATTGAGGACGATGATGATGTCCATTTTTTTAAGAAGTACAATTATGAGGTAACACTATCAAAACTAGCTCCCTTACTCGTGAGTTTAGAAGATAAATGACTGACAAATGATGTAGTTGATAGTATGCATATCACGACAGATAGTAGTCAGATGGGTCGTTCTTCAGTTGCCATTGTTGAAAGCAATGAAGTAACTTGTAATAATGCAAATGCCAATGATGTGGGAGGTGAAGTAGGGATAGATTTTATGGATATGATTGATTTTACCGAGGTGGAGGAGATGCATGGTGGTGATAATGGTACTGAAAGAAATGAAGTGTCAGTGTACTCTGCCCTTCCTATTTTGGGCTACTTGAACACATATGCCCAATTGCCAATAAAGAGGAGAATCTGAACCCACTCATGAACTCATGAACATTATTGGAGTCAAATGGGTGAACATAACCGGTACAATGAAGCCGGTGTAAATGATGGAGAAGCATATTTTGATAGCGGGTTTTCGGGAAGTGATTGGAATCCGAAAATTATAGTTGGGCAAATTTTCTCTAGTAAGAAAGCATTGTTGACGGAGTTACGGTTGACGGCATTAAGAGGCCACTTTGAATTTAAGGTGCAATTGTCTTGCACAAAGAGGTTGCTTGTGGTTTGTTGTCAACGTCCATGCCCATGACGGGTCTGAGCATCGAGAATTGGAGAATACAGCTTCATGATTGTGAGGTGTACAACTGTCCATGCATGTGATTTGAGGTTCGTAAGTGACAACCATCGTCAAGCAACAGCAGCACTTGTAGCCACTTCATTTAAAAGGAAGTTTAAGGATTCTCGGACAATATACACACCAAGTGACATTATGAGAGATGTGAAACACAACTTTGGTTTCACCATCTATTATTCGAAAGCTTGGAAAGCAAGGGAGTTAGCTCTATTATCCATTAGAGGATCAGCGGAGGAGGCATATTATATCCTTCTGGCTTATTGCTATGAATTGGAGCGTATGAATCCCGGCACAAAAACACACATCCAAACTGATAAGAACAATCACTTTGTGTATTTATTTATGGCGGTTGGCGCATGTATTAGAGGATTTCGTTCTTTCATGCTCCCAGTGATAGTCGTGGATGCCACTTATTTAAAATCTAAGTATAAGGGCGTTATGTTTGTAGCAAATGCATTCGATGGTAATCGAAATATATATCATCTTGCTTTTGGGATCGGGGATTTGGAGACGGATGCATCATGGCATTGGTTTTTCACTAAACTTCATGAAGCCATTGGTGAGTGTCCCAATCTTGTTATTATTTTTTATCGCAATGTTAGCATAGAGAATGTGTGGAACAAAGTTTTTCCAACTGCGCAACATGGCATATACTTTTATCATATGAAGGGGAACATGAAACGCACTTGCAAGTTGAAAAAGCATGATCAAATACTTATGCACTTTGAGCAGGCCGCGAAATCTTATTCCATTGCAGAATTTGATTGTCATTTTCGCAAGATTAAGCGAAAGGAACATGTTGCTCAATATCTTGAGCAGGCAGGGTTACAAAAGTGGTCTAGAGCTCATATGGATTAATGACAACAAATATTGCGGAGCCAATCAACTCAGTCCTTAGGTTTGCAAGGATGCTGCCAGTGGTTCATTTGATAGGGGAAATTATTAATCTCCTTGTGAAATGGTTCACCGAACGTCGTGAGTTGGCTTTGAATTGCACAACAACATTGTGCCCCAATTCTGGAGAGAAGAAGTTGAGGAATAGGTTGGAGGATGCTGCAAGGATGAATGTCGTTAAAGTAAATAACGCACAGTTTAATGTTTTGGACGGTGATATGGAAGGCCTCGTAGATTTAACGAACAACAGTTGTAGTTGTAGAAAGTTTCAACTTGAGCAGCTACCTTGCAAGCATATAGTTACAGTTTGCCTCTTCTTGAACATAAACGTATACTCAAAGGCTTCTTGGTATTACACTTGGAAAACCTGGATGGATGCTTATTCGGATAGCATCTACCCAGTACAGCCTCATGGAATGTGGGATATTCCTGAAGATGTTCGAAGTCGAGTTATGCTACCTCCCATGGCAAGGGTCATGCCAGGCAGACGAAAGAAGATAAAAATTTCGTTGCAAGGAGAGGGCACTATTACAAGAAAGTGCTTAAGGTGCGGTTCCGCATGCCACAATAAAAGCACCTGTAAAAATAATATTCAATTGCGCAATGTATCTTAGACAATATGATTTATGTTGCTTTTGTAGGTCATGTAAACTTTACTTTTATTTGTGGTGGGTTTCGTGTTATATTGAATGGAAATTATTTTAATTTTGCATAATTTGGGTTGCATTGCTACAACATGTTGTATTGCTTCCAGATTGCTATTATATTGTACTGTTATTGCACTGGTATTGTCATTGCAATGTAAATTGTGAGTGCGAACTTAAAGGCCCTGTAATGTAATTCCAAATGGATCCAAGACATTAAAGTGCTTAGAATTCCTTTATTACACAATAACCATGATACTCCGACTATACCTTCTTTTCTGATTACAAATTTGGCCGATGCATGGGCCAAATGTGGGGCAAATACAAGGTGAAATGTCCTATGTGTTTCACTACATATAGTTGTTGAATGAGCATTACGAATGTTAACCCCAATAGATTGCTCATGTCTTGCCAAAAACACTCTTGAATTTATGCAATGTGCCCAAGCCAATCCCAAAGCTGGACTCACCCGTCTGTCTGATGTGTCCAGGGACTCCAAGTTTCCCAACCTCACCCCATTCACTCCATCATGTGGCCCAATAAAATCCACCACTTGGTTGGTGACAACCACGGCCAACCCAAACTTATGTGCTAAACCCTTCAATGTCCCAGATATGTTGAAGAACATTTCAGACCGCCTTTTCAAATCTTCCGGTGTTGTCTGATACTGTGATCGGAAAAATGCAGCAATGGAATCAATGACAATGAGTTTCACAGGTAGGCGGGTGCGATCAATGGCAATAAATGTTTCTATGTCTCCAAGGACATGGATGAGTTGTTAAGCATCATGAACGCCATGAACATATATGTCCTCCAATGGCTCCAACCTTATTAAGTTGGGGTATGATGCATGATAAAGGTTGCCTAGTTGTTGCAATCGACGAAATGGGAAGCTGAATTCTGTGAATATGTAGACGGAGGAGCCCCCTAGTCCGCCATGTGAGAGTGGGAGTTGAGCTCGTACCGTAAGTTGAAGACAAAGCTGCGTCTTCCCGGAACCACTCTCCTTTACCAATTCTGTTATCGAGTTGCAGGGTATTCCACCCCCCAAGCAGTCATCTAGTATTGGGCATCCAATGAAAAATTTAGGGGTTGAAAGAGGAAGGAGCATGAGGTTTTGGGGTGTCATGTTTCTGTAATTTTGGGGGGGATGTGATGGTGCTACAAGGCATGCATTATATATATAGAGTTCATTTTGAAGGTCTGTAATGTAGGCCATATGTCTTTTAAGGGATGTATACTTCATCCTTTTTCCAGTTTATAATTACTTTTTTGTTTATTATTTATTTGTATTTTTTTGGACCAACTAATATACAAAACATTCTGATGCAGTACATCTAGGATCATATTGTAACTCTATTATTACTCTATTGTGCTCTTATTGATATAATATTGCCATTATACGCATGTTTATTGTATAATTATTGCTATTATATCGCCACTGAACCGGACACGGATAAACTGTATACGCACAAATACAAAAAGAGGCATCATCATTCCATAAAATTCAATTTCCAAACTTACATAATACAACAACAGCCCACCCTATTGTTACATAATACAAAAAGATTGGGGGTTTCATAGTTCCATTTCCTTGTTGTTGACAAATTCGAAGTTGCATACTCTTCCCCAGCCACAGTGATGTTGCCCCAGTTTCCTCAGTTTCCTGCAGGATCCACTATTTTTGCAAACTTACGAAATAGTTCGAATCCGCTTTCCACTTGTTGTTGCTTCAACTTGGCCATTTCTTCTGATTCCTTGAATACCATAATTGCAGTGGCAGGGGCAATTTCAATTTTTCCTTTCATTGCCTTTATATGTGAGAGATGCATGCGGGCATGATAACGAGAGCGAATTGTGCGCTTTTTTATGTCTGCATGGAGATTTTTCCAAACATGGTATTGCCTCGACATTGCTGCATGCCATGGACCAAGTCCGCAGTGAGTGAATTGGGTGACTTGGCTTCTGTTTCAGTCTCCCCTCCTTCAGTAATTGAAAGCATTGGGTTTGGTGTGAGGTTATGGTTCATGGTCTTCGATATTTATTGTAGGTTGGTGTAGGACTTAATTGGAAACAAGGGGGACTAAATGCGATGTGAGTGAAATCAGTGGGGAAGGTAATGGCTGCAAGCATGAGTTAATCTGATGGAAGTTTTCATTTCAAACAGCTGGGTTGATTAATATAGGCAGGTTTTAATGACATGGAGTAACTGAGAGAGTTATTGGCGGGAAGGATTGGGGGGAGTAATTGGCGGGAGTCTTGGGCGGGATAGTATTGGGCGGGAGTTATTAACTAGTTGACTGTATGCCTTTTTGTAATATATTTCCAATTTGGATGTTCCGAATTTTGTAATTTTCGCATTATGTAATACAAATAAGGGATTTGCCTATTTGCCTAATTCACCAACTAATTCAAATTGACCAATATGGTTATTGTCTTATTTTTCATTTCAGCAATCTCAATTCGTTTCCATTTTTCCATTATTCATATTTTCCTATTTTCCATGTGTCCTTTTTTTCAATTATCCAATTATCCAAATTTTCATTATTTTTGCCTATTTTTGCCTATTTCCTATTTTCCTATTTTGCAATTTTCCAAGTTTCCTTTTGTTCTACTTCCAGTTTTCCTATTTTGCCATTATCTAATTTAAAAAATTTGCCTACATTGCATAATTGAGAAAGTAATTAAAATTGTCTAATATGGTAATTATCTTATTTCCCATTTCCGCAATTTCAATTCGTTTCCAATTTCCTTATTTTTCATGTGTCCCTGTTTCCTATTTCCAATTATCCAATTTTCAATTTTTTTGCAATTTTGCAATTTTTCTATTATCCAATTTTCTTTTTTCCAATTGGCCTATTTTCTAAGTTTCCTTTTTTTCCTTTATCCAATTTTCCAATTTTCCAATTTGCTAACTTTCCTTTTGTTCTATTTCCAATTTTGCTATTTTTCAAGTTGCCTTATTTCCTATTTTTCAATTATCCAGTTATCCAATAGTCCAATATTCCAATTATCCAATTTTCAATTTTCCAATTTGCGAATTTGCTTACTTTCCAAGTGTCCATTTTTCCTATTTCCTATATCGAATTTTCCATTTTTCCTGTTTTCAGAGTTTCTTTTTTTTCCTATTTCCTATTTTCCTATTTTCCAAGTTTCCTTTTGTTCAATTTCCAATTTTCCAATTTTCCAATTTCTAATTTTCCAATTTTCCTATTTTCCAAGTGTCCTTTTTTCCTATTTCCAATTTTCCTATAATCCAATTTTCCTCTTTTCAAAGTATCCTTTTTTTTTTTTTTTTTTTTCCTATTTCATATTTTCTAATTTTTCAATTTTCCAATTATCCAAATATCCAAATTTCCAATTTCCCAATTTTGCCAAACGTCCTTTTTTTTTCTTTTCCTATTTCCAATTTTCCTATTTTCCAAGTGTCCCTTTATCCTATTTCCTAATTTCCTCTTTCCAATTTTCCTTTCTTCCTATTTCCAATTTTTCAATTTCCATTTTTCCAAATTGCCAATTTTCCAAATTTCCTAGTTTCCATTTTTTGGTATTTCTGATTTTCCAATTTTCCTTATTTCCAAGTTTGCACTTTTGCTATTTTCCAATTTCCCCTTGAGGTTTGCTGTAAATTCGTTTGTAAGCCAATTTTATTGTTGTTAATGTAATGCTCTACTACTATAAATTACAGTCAAGGAGTAAATGTTGTAGTTTGCAATCCCATCAATTGAATGACCAACTAAATACCCAATAAAGGCTTGATATACGTTCCCACATATAACTTCAGCTTTCTATATGTAAGTGTATCATAGCCACCTTCTTAACGGGAAAGGTAAGTACTCTTTCTCAAAGGCAAACATTCTCCACTATAATAGGCATATTGTTGTTTACAACTGGAGACTGAATGTACATTTCTTTGTTTTGTTGCAGTCGGCAGCTGTGAATTGTCCCCTACAATACTTAAAGATGTTTGATGTACGCCCTCCAAACGACCATGTCAGTTACCCGGGGGACCAGCCGTGGCATGTGCCATTCCTATCTCCACCTCTGACTCCCAATCACGATCCTACTTCATCTGGAAGTGAGGCTGATAACAATGATCCGCTTGACAAAATCTCAGCCGTCAAGCACGACTTCCAATATTTGTCTAAGGCAACAGATTGGTGGGAGACTAAATGTGATATTCATGGCCAAGTTATGGGAAACTTGGCCAACAAGTTGAACAAAGCATATGCTGGAGAAGTGAAGCAAATTCTAAAAGCAAAAAGTTTGGAGCAAAGAGTTAGAGTCCCTGAAGTTCAAATTGGAAGAGACAAAGAAATATTACAAAACCAGGATGATTTTTGGCATGCTTGAAAAGAGAAGGGCCAAATACAACAGAAAAGAAAATCCATTCAAGCTTCTCACTAAACATGGCTCAAGCACTCAACAATGGTTTCAATCCAAACCTACCCAACAAAGGGCATACCATGTGTCCATCGTAACAGAAGAGTGGCAATTCCAAAGCATGAACTGCAATATGTTGCCTTTTCTCCTAAACAAAATTGTTACTAAAATGGAACAAAAGATCCCTAACCTGCAATACAAGCACAGATAATCAATTGTCATAGACATAAAACAGTGCAGGCAGCATCTGCAGCATACTTGAGAGCAAACAACCCAAGAAAGAAGATTGATACCTATATCTCATACGAAACAACTTCCTGGCCAACTGAAACATATGAATTTCAATAAATTAATGAAATATAACTATCTAAAGTTCATTAAATACCCAAAATGTTTGAAGTCGAGGTGTTTCCAAGTTACTATTTATCAGTTATCCAAAGAAATCCTCACTTATTCCCGAATGCTATAATTCATAAAAATCTTAAATGCAAACCATCAATACTATTTATAAAACAAATAAAAAATAAAAAGGTTGGCATTGTGACTCTATTATCCTCTTGAAACCAACCATTGACTGAAAAAGAAAGATAAGAAACCTTTCATAGTGGATATGTGGCTTACCA